CGGCTTTTAAGTAATGCATAAACCTTCGAGGCGCGAGGCCCTTCGGACCGCGAGGCATAGGCAGTGGCCCACTTCGTCCATGCCTTACGTTACCCTTGGTCATAGAAATGATGTAATTTGAATATAAATTATTTATAAATACGTATGTCAAGTTATATTTTTATTACTACGTAAAATATATTTAAGAGTTTACTACCACTGTGCTGGGTGAGACGTTGTTGAAACAAAAAAATTATGCATTCCATTACGTACATAAACAATGTCATAATTTGCCAAGTGCGAATCAGCAAATTCGTAAAATTTTTGTTTATTTTGAACAATCCGGATAATCGAAAATCCGGATAATGGAGGTCCGGATAATGGAGGTTCTACTGTATTTCTAATTTGATAAACAAAATAATTTGTAACTTACCTTAATAAAATGTCTTAGATCTGAAGGCAAAATTAAAATATGGGGTGAAACTGTTAATTTTGCATATAATTCCAAGTGTTCATAACTGATATTGACTTCATTTGAGGGATAAAGTGGATAAAAACTGTAAGAAAAATTATTTATTCTTTAGACAATTTACACTCAATATATTATTTGAAGTATGATAAGAATTTAAAATTTAGATTTAAATCAAGTAATATACACTAATTCTTAAATAAATAAATAAGTCAGTTTAAAGTAACCTTAAAAATTTTAATAGAAATTTCTATTTATTTTAAACTAATAGCATGTAATCTATATATCATGATCTTTTATGAATCACAGAAAAAATTTTGGGAATAATAAAAATGTAAGAATTCAAATAAACCTTACAAAATATGGCCTTTGCCAACTAATATTTTAGAAATTTAAACATAACTGAAAACAATTTGAAAAATTCTTCATAAAATATATATATTGCTTTTTAATTAACAGAACAAGATATAACTAATTTTTCAAGCCTTGCTTGTCAGCAGAATATTATATTTAAAAAAATAAAAATTATAAAAAAAACTTATGTAAAAGCCAGTAAAATTTGCATCATAAAGAAATTTTATTTGTTTACTTGATTGTGTTTGAATGCACAAAAAGATATTGAGAAATATAAATATAACTAAATTTGACATGGTGACATTTCAGGACATGCAGAAGACATTCTATAAAAAAATATTTGATCTAAATCCACGTGAATTTTGGTTGAGAGAACATTTAAAAAGTTGTGGTTTATTGAGAACATTAATTAAATTTGATGTCTTGAAAGACAGTATCACAGTGCATATGAGAAACAACACAAGGAATCAATTACAATTGGCAATGAACAGTGTGTTCATTGCTTCAGGTTTTACACCTTAAGAATAGAGATATTAAACAGTATCCTCTGCATCACTACGATCGCTTCCATCTGCTGTAATGCTTAAAAACAAAACCAAGGTTTTTCTTTTTAAGTATTACACCAAATGAGCTGAATGAAGTAACTATATTTAAATAACTTGAATAAAAATGTATTACATATGTCCATAGAATATAATTTATTTCAACTTTAATCATTTGAAATTTTAAATATAAACTGAAATTTAATTTTCAAATATTATTGTAATTAAAACTTCAAACCTTTGTTGATTAAGTATATGGCGACAAAGACGACCAAGTCGATCACTCATGGTTGATGGGCTGTTAAAACGAAGTAAAATTTAATTAATTAAAATATATAATAATATTAATTATGTTAACTCATAATACAATAATTAATAGAATATAAATGTGAGAGCCAAATTTGGTAAAGAAATTTTTGTTTGATTTAGTTTTTCGTTAAAGTTGTTTTGCTAAAATTGTCAAAGATAATTGAACTGTTTCCCACAGACTTATTTCCTTGTTGAAGATAATACATTGAATGTGTCACCCAGAATCAATGAATGAAAATGTGACTATTGACCCCGATGTACTAAACCTCCTAACGAAGTCATGGGAAAAACCCAGGAGAAGTCCCCTAATAAAAAAGGAGGGAGTGATAACAAGCCAGGGAGTCATCATCAACCCTTTTTCCTAAGTGTGTGTGTTCCGAACTGCTGTTTTAGCCATTGCCACCGCTCAAGAAACTGAGAAAAAAAGGATTACCCTCTGAACTGAGTTGTTGACCTTTCCTTGATTTGTGCATCGATATGACTAGGAATCATGAGTATTTTAAGGTATTTATCATCTCGCGAACTTACTGTGAGCTCTCTCTCTCTCTCTCAGTCAGGGTTGTGTTAGGTTTATCTCTCTATATCCCACTCCCTTTAGCAATTGTGCTAAGCATCTAAAATACTTTTTAGCCATTGTGTTAAGCTTCTGAAATGATTGTAAACTTGTAAACAATATCTCATAGAACTTTTAAATAATATCTATCTATAAACAGGTATTTTTCTTAAATGTTAATTTGTGGAGTGTACTACTTCTGGTTGTTTCCATCTGCCTCCATTCCGAGTCCAGAAGCCCGCAAATGTGACTGCTTGCATGATAAATAACATAAAGGCCATCAAGATTTCTGTGTCCAGCAGACATAGTGGTGTCATTCCTGACAAGGTGCCAAGGAGGTGCTGACCCTGCGGTCACATAAAAGTACTAGCCATAACTCATCAAAAATGATGGAAGAAAATGTGAAAAAATTGATCTTTACTTAAAACAATTTAAGCTTTATTGAACTACAGGTAACCCCCGTATAACACGGTAGTTACGTTCCAAAAAATTGCCATGTTATGCAAATCCATGTTATACGAAACAAAGAACTAATACGAAAAGGAGGGTTAGGTTCCAAAAATTAAAAAACATGCTAGTATATTTTCATAATTAAGATAAATATCTTCATTAAAATTTTTTTAAGTGATACATATTAATATAAATTAAACAATGTTTTCTTCGTCATCACTAAAAACACTATTAATTAACCGAGAGCGTTTTCTTTTTGGCAAGTTATCCTTATCCTCTGAGCATTTTTCTGCATTATCTTCAGATCCATGCTTTACCTTTTGCAAAATGTATGTAATTTTAGATTGCTTGCTTCTAGTTAAAAGGTCTTTATAAATTTCCTTATATGGTGCTAAGCACTTATGAAGAATAAAGCAAGTATGGAATAAGGGAAAAACATTCGGCAACATCAGAAGCAGAAGCGTCGCGATCTGGCAACATTGAAACAAGTTTCGAGAAGGACCACGTGTATCGACAGAAGGCGAGAAGAGAAAATTTACATACTTAAGTACTAATAGTTCACGAAAATAATAATTTTCGTGAACTATTATTACTTAAGTATGTAAAAATTTATTACATTTCCTGTTGTACGAGGGTTTTACCCAATTCTCGAACCGTGTCAGAGTAAATCTGTGCTATAAAAGTACCGTGTTATACGGGGGATGGTACCAATTCTCGAACCATGTTAGAGTGAATCCGTGCTATAGAAGTGCCGTGTTATACGGGGGTTACACCTATACAAGCATAAATTTTTTTTTTTTACAACATTTTTCATAAAGACTGAATCTTCATTTAATTTATCTAATAATTTTTTCATTATCCTAAATTCCAAATAGAAATTTTTAAATTCTCACTGTTGCAGGAACATAATCCTAACTTACCAAATATTTGTCGAACTTCAAATTTTGCTCTACACCATTCAATAAATTGGTATATTTAACTTGTAATGGAAAATGTCATCCACCATGGATAACATTATCCAGTGAATTTTGTCAATGACACATTCAAAAAGTAATTTTATAAATTTTAGAGTTTTGATTTACTTACACATTTGAAAAAATCAATTTACTTCAGATGCTATGGCCTATCTTAAAATTAACTACTGTACATTGCAAAATGCAAAACATTGTATTAAGATTTATCAAATTATAAGAAAATAATCATTTATGCCAATCATTAAGTTTTTGTAATAAAAGTATTGATTTTACTGATTACAATGACAAAATGGAAATGATGTGATTTTTGTTTCTACTGCAACTACATTTAAATTCAAATTTTTCTTAGAACAATCCATTAAATTTTAATGATTTATGCTGCATATATATATAAGCATTGAAAGACATAACTGAATTAATTCAAAAATAACTTGAACAAAAATTGGAATAAAAGTTTTGATTATACTTATACATATATTGTAAATATTAAAAATACTCGTAAATTTTGAGTAATAATAATAATAATAACTTTTCTACAGACAAATCAGTACTAAAACAAACACTGATACACAGCACAGTGGCACACCAACAGAAGAAGAACTCACAACTTATTGGTCATCTCTTTGGTCCAATGCTGTTACACACAATGCTGATGCAGGCTGGATCAAGGAGGAGAACAGAAACTTGCATAACATACCAAGTATGCCCTGTGCTGAAATAAACATACACGACATTCGCTACGCTGTTAACAGAACACACAACTGGAAGACACCTGGTGTAGACAACATTCACAATTTCTGGTATAAAAAGTTTACA